TGAGAAGGCGGAGCTGGCTAGTGAGAAGGCGGAGCTGGCTAGTGAGAAGGCGGAGCTGGCTAGTGAGGAGGCGGAGCTGGCTAGTGAGGAGGCGGAGCTGGCTAGTGAGGAGGCGGAGCTGGCTAGTGAGGAGGCGGAGCTGGCTACTGAAGAGGCGGAGCTGGCTAGTCAGAAGGAGGAGCTGGCTACTGAGAAGGAGGAGCTGGCTAGTGAGAAGGCGGAGCTGGCTAGTGAGGAGGCGGAGCTGGCTAGTGAGGAGGCGGAGCTGGCTAGTGAGAAGACGGAGCTGGCTAGTGAGGAGGCGGAGCTGGCTAGTGAGAAGGCGGAGCTGGCTAGTGAGAAGGCGGAGCTGGCTAGTGAGAAGGCGGAGCTGGCTAGTGAGAAGGCGGAGCTGGCTAGTGAGAAGGCGGAGCTGGCTAGTGAGAAGGCGGAGCTGGCTAGTGAGAAGGCGGAGCTGGCTAGTGAGAAGGCGGAGCTGGCTAGTGAGAAGGCGGAGCTGGCTAGTGAGAAGGCGGAGCTGGCTACTGAGAAGGCGGAGCTGGCTACTGAGAAGGCGGAGCTGGCTAGTGAGAAGGCGGAGCTGGCTAGTGAGAAGGCGGAGCTGGCTAGTGAGAAGGCGGAGCTGGCTAGTGAGAAGGCGGAGCTGGCTAGTGAGAAGGCGGAGCTGGCTAGTGAGAAGGCGGAGCTGGCTAGTGAGAAGGAGGAGCTGGCTACTGAGAAGGCGGAGCTGGCTACTGAGAAGGCGGAGCTGGCTACTGAGAAGGCGGAGCTGGCTACTGAGAAGGCGGAGCTGGCTACTGAGAAGGCGGAGCTGGCTAGTGAGAAGGCGGAGCTGGCTAGTGAGAAGGCGGAGCTGGCTAGTGAGAAGGCGGAGCTGGCTACTGAGAAGGCGGAGCTGGCTACTGAGAAGGCGGAGCTGGCTACTGAGAAGGCGGAGCTGGCTACTGAGAAGGCGGAGCGGGCTACTGAGAAGGCGGAGCTGGCTACTGAGAATGCGGAGCTGGCTAGTGAGAAGGCGGAGCTGGCTAGTGAGGAGGCGGAGCTGGCTAGTGAAAAGGAGGAGCTGGCTAGTGAGAAGGAGGAGATGGCTAATGAGAAGGCGGAGCTGGCTACTGAGAAGGCGGAGCTGGCTACTGAGAAGGCGGAGCTGGCTAGTGAGAAGGCGGAGCTGGCTAGTGAGGAGGCGGAGCTGGCTAGTGA